GAATACCCAGGCGCGGATCCAGGGGGGGGCCGAGCGGGCCTTGGCCCCCCCCCCCGCAAAAAAAAAAAAAAAAAAAAAAGAGAGAAGAAGGAAAAGAAGGGAGAAAGGGAAAAAGGAGAAAAAGGGAAAGAAAGAAGAGGAAGAAGAAAAGTAAAGGGGGAAGAAGAAGGGGGGGGGCCGAAAGGGCCTTGCCTCCCAGGCTGTTAACCCCCCCCCCCCCCCCCCAATCAAAAAAAAAATAAGAGAGAAGGAAGGAAAGGGAAAGAAAAAAAAAGGAAAAGAGGAGAAACTGGCGTACTGATAGAGGGGGGGGGGGGGGGCTTGGGGGAAATCAAATTCAAACGTGGTTTATTTCATATTCCACAACGGTGTATTACAAATAATGCTGAAATGACATAATTTCCGAAATTTTTCCTCACTTTTTAGTAAATTATACGTTTGTATGTGTTTGTTGGAAAATAAAAAAATTCCTAAATTTACAACCAGGCAAAAAATATGATTCTTGAGATTCCTACATGTCAGGGCCCGAGGTACGGCGGGGATCGAGAGCCTCGAGGCATCAAAATATGCTCATCTGACCGTGATTAAATGCCTAAAACCCCTAAGCTTCCGGGGGCTTTGCCCCCTGGATTCCATCTAGGGCCCTACGGCGGGCCCTTAGATGATCATCTGACGGTAATTTAATGCCTAAAAACCCTGATTTTTTGGGGCTCCGCCCCCTGGACCCCACGTCAAATAGTGACTTGCCAGTGTCACAAAATAAAAAGGTATACACAAAAATATGCTCATCTGATCTTAATTAAACGCCTAAAACCCCTGAGCTTCCGGGGCCGGCTCCGCCGCCTCGACCCCACCTCTTTGAAATTCAGACAAGGATTAAGAGTATAGAGAAAGGTACAACGCATCGTTTTCTTTCTCTAATAATAAAACGTCAAAGCCTCGCGCAGGAGGGGAGGAGGGGGGGGGGACTGAATTGAGACGAGGATTCAGAGGCGAGAACGGTAATACGAATCTTTAATTATTTAATGAAACGTAAAAGCTTATGCGCTTCGCGCGGGATGGAGGGGGAACTAAATTCCGATGAGGATTATTTTCGAGAACGGTACAATGAATCGTCTTCTTCTCTAATGATTAAATGAAGATTAAAAGCTTCCGCGCTTTGCGCGGGAGGGGGGAACCTGAATTCAGATGAGGATTAAGAGTCGAGAACTGTACAACAAATCGTCTTCTTTCTCTAATGATTTAATGAAAAGTAGAAGCTTCCGCGCTTCGCGCAGGAGGGGGAGGGGGAGGAACTGAATTTAGACAAGGATTAAGAGTCGAGAACTGTACAACGAATCGTCTTCTTCTTTTATGATTAAATGAAGATTAAAAGCTTCGGGAGGGGGGAACCTGAATTCAGACGAGGATTAAGAGTCAAGAACTGTACAACGAATCGTCTTCTTTCTGTAATAATTTAATAAATCGTAAAATTTTCCGCGCTTCGCGCGGGAGGGGAAAAACTAAATTCAAACGAGAATTATTTTCGAGAACGGTACAACGAATCGTCTTCTTTCTTTAATAGTTTAATAAAACGTCAAAGCTTCCGCGCTTCGCGCAGGAGGGGGAGGGGGGGGGGGGACTGAATTTAGACAAGGATTAAGAGTCGAGAACTGTACAACGAATCGTCTTCTTTCTCTAATAATTTAATAAGTCGTAAAACTTTCCGCGCTTCGCGCGGGAGGGGAAGACTTAATTCAGACGAGAATTATTTTCGAGAACGGTACAACGAATCGTCTTCTTTCTTTAATAGTTTAATAAAACGTCAAAGCTTCCGCGCTTCGCGCAGGAGGGGAGGGGGGGGGGACTGAATTTAGACAAGGATTAAGAGTCGAGAACTGTACAACGAATCGTCTTCTTTCTCTAATAATTTAATAAGTCGTAAAATTTTCCGCGCTTCGCGCGGGAGGGGGAAAACTAAATTCAGATGAGAATTATTTTCGAGAACGGTACAACGAATCGTCTTCTTTCTCTAATAATATAATGAAACGTCAAAGCCTGGGAGGGGGAAACTCGCCCCCCCTGCACCGATCCCCCCCCCCGGCATTACGTCACTGTTGGTCACCATAACGTACCAATATTTGGCTCGCATAATTTCAAATTTGGGCCCCCCCCCCCTAAGAAATCCTGGATCCGCGCCTGCGAATACCCCCCCCCCCACCCCCGAGCAAGTGAGATTATACAGGCTCGTTTGGACATGAACCACGTGGTTGTTGTTTTTGTTTTCAATGACGGCGTTATGCCTGTAATGCACTTCATTTTTCTTTATCTTATAGTACAGAGCTCAGTAAAAACGCGCAGTTACCATTCATTAATTTTATACAGTTTAAAAAATCGCACCGGCTTTTTTTACCGCGCCGTATCTTCTTTTTGGAGAGAGCGAGGAGCGCGAAAAAACTAGAACATAGGAGAGAACTAATGCGATAATAAATCAGATACCTGCACTTCTGGCGATGGATATTGCCGCTGGATGCCTCTCATCATTGACGCTATGATAGCCTTCGTACGCACCCCATGCTGCCAACCCAACGTTGATCATCACGAAGACGATCCAGAAGAGGATGTCGGAGAAGTGATTGCGGAGTGTATGATAGCTACAATATGTCGATGTGTGTGATTGAATTTTAGGTTTCTTTGTTTCAGGGTTCAGCCACTCAGCCGCACTGATAAAATAAATTAGTTTGAGTAATCATGCTTTCGTATTAGTATAACTCATTGTGAATATCGTTTGTAATAGAAAATTAAGTCATGGAAAGAATTACACAAATACCCAATTTCCGTTGTTACTGCAAGTTTTCAGCAAGTTCATTTCTGCCGCATTATGTAAAGGCAATTTTAGTTGTAATTTAGATGGCGCTCTTCAACTTGTCAATGATATAGTATCAAATTAAGATTAAAGGTAATACAAGTTTTGGTATGGGGTCATGAATTTGGTTAAAATGAACATATTGGATCGCATATGCGATCCTACAATATTCAGTGATCGTTGCCGCGGTTGAAATCGAGTATAATATGAAATTGTAAATAATAAAGTCCTTATGTTGTATAGCTCCCCCTCAAGGTCAAGATATAATTAAGCTATAAAACAATGTTTCTTGACTAAAATCGACCAATGAGCTATTCCCGTTTGGAAATTATATATCACAACTTCATATTTTGAGATTTTTATGGTCGCAGCTACCATTGTACGGCCGTAGGCGCTATTTGCAGTTTATCAACATTTACTGGGAGCACCGGTAAAAAAATATATATTCAATTTTTCTCGAAAGCAGGAGAGTTTTAGGGGCTAGATGTTCTATAATACATCTACAGGGGCATCCAAATATATCAAAATTGTAAAGAATCACTATCCAACCCAATTTTCAAAATTTTCCCAAACTCTGGTATCCGGTAAGTTCTCGCAAGCTAAGACTTCAGCTTAACATGATTCAGATTTTTAATTTAAACAAGTACAGGGTTGTGTATTGTAGAAGTATTTTTTAGAACATTTAGCAAGTTTATTGATCTCGATGTATATCCTACCTGAGGGTGAGATTGGATGTAATTCCAGGGTACCGCTGGAGCTGCTCAGAAAGCTCTTCAAAGCTGACCACACCATCGCAATCGACATCGGCATCGTCGATGAGGATTTCAGTGAGCTCCGTCAATGTTTCATCGGTCAGGGTGATTGCAGATTCAGCTATGCAAGATCGGAGGACCGTCTTGAGCTCATTAAAGTCGATAAATCCGCTACCTGTTAGGATTGAACGGGAACGTCAAAGACGTAGTTTTCTTATTGTGAAATCATTTGTTATATAAAATAAAGAAATCACCTTAGATAAATCAATAAATCAATAGGTCAATAAATCAGATTATTTCGTTTTTTTATAAATATTATTTCGTTTGTACTCTACTTTGTCCAATGGAAGACAAGAAGGTGGATACACCAAAAAAGAATACATGGCGAGTTGAAATGTTTTTCTGAATGTATCTACCGGTAGCTTTATGTCCCATTGTAATTTTAGCAACGTTTTTTCCGCCATTGCTACTCTTTGATACAACCATGACATAGAGTAGCAATTTACTCTTTCGGGACTCATGATAATTCGTTTTTCAGTTGATTCAAAGTTCGCAGGATTTAGCAGAGAGTGATAAAAGTGAGCATGCTCACGATGAACGTTTATGTATTATTCTTATTTGTTTCTCGCCTCTGCAATGCTATTTGAGTGACAATAAACTTATTTATATGTTAGGTTTACCTGGGAGAAGTTCCAGTGGTTTAATAGTTTGAAAGAAAACTGAATGTGAACCCATAAATGCATGTGCCCTTTTATTGCCCCAACCGGAGTTATTTATTTTATTCTAGACTGAAGGTCTTACAAGTCTTATAACTACTGATTTACAGGTTTGAAATTGGTCGATTTCTTGAAGTTCATGAGTAACCATAGTGACGTTGACAAATAAGAATTTTCAACAAGACGTTCTTTTCTAACTCAATAAATGTCATCATAATTCAATGTTTAACATCATCATGTGAATTCTTCACTCTTATTACCAAAATTCGCTGCCATTACCATTATCTTGCTATTGTGATTACAAGGTTATTTACCAACCTTACCATCTACGTCATAAACCTGGAAGAGAAAGTGAAGTTTCTCTTGTTCTGTTCCATTGACAAGATGTCGCAGAGCACCTATCAGTTCCTTCAAGCTGATACTCCCTGACTGATCCGTGTCAATTAGCTCAAAGAACCGCTCAGCAAAGAAGGACTAAATAGAGGGGAAAACAATAATCATAATCATAATTATAAAAACATTCCGATCCTGATGAAATACAAGCTCTGCTTATTAATGTAGGCTTCTCTGTGGGGTCTGTTATTCACAAGCATAGCTTTCATAGTTACCTCAATATTTCACTCTTCTTGTACGTTCATTCTTTCAATTCAATGCATTCAAACAAATTGGTATAAGGTATTTCATTTCATTTCATTTCATTTATTTATTTAAACACGGAGGCCTACTTCAGCCCGCAGACTGTTCTTCTGTAGGGCCGTGTATATACATAAAAACATACAATATCAAAATAACATATATACAACATAATTCAACATAATAATGATAACATAAATATATACAAAACAAAAATAACATAAACTAAAAATACATATGAAATATTAATAGGGGATGGGGACTACTCCTTAAGGGCTCTTGGTTCCATATACTTATTTAGATTACGCTTGAAATTTATAACAGATAATTCACGTTTAAGTTCTGGTGAGATTGAGTTCCAGCATTTCGCACCGAAATAGCTGAAACTCTTTTTTTTAAAACATGTTTTTAATTTAGGTAGTACAAAATTATTAATTGAATTTCTCATATTATAATTACATTTTTTTAGTTCAAATAAATCTAGCAAGTAATTAGGACAATTATGATTAGCAATTTTATACATCATGTAAAGGGCATGTTTATCTCTTCTTTTTTCTAAAAAATCAAGCTTTAACTGCTGAAACAGGGAAATTGTAGAATATCTGGCATCAACTTTTAATATAATTCGGAGGGCTCTATTCTGGAGGACTTGAAGCTTCTTAACAGATTTTTTCATAATATTTCGCCAGACCACATCACAATAGTCAAGTTTACTTTGTAATATTGTTTTATAAAACATAAGTGCAATATTCTGAGATATATAGTTCCTTATTCTTTTAAATAGGTACAGCTTTTTAATAATATCTTTTCTCAGGAAATTAACATATTCATCCCAATCGAGATTGTGATCTATATATATACCTAAGTATTTGCAATGATCTATTTGATTGAGTTTTACATCATTAATATAAATATTAATCGTTCGATTTTTAACTTTGGTTCTAGATCCAATTAACATGACCTCACATTTTGTAGTATTGAGAAATAATTTGTTTGAATTCAACCATTTTGAAAGACGTATAAGATCAGCATTAATGACATTTTCAATAGTTTCTGTTGTTTTACCAGGGTAATATATGCATGTGTCATCAGCGTACAACGATATACTACATCTTTTAATACAATTTGATAAATCATTAACATATATGGTAAAAAGTAGGGGGCCTAAATTGGCCCCCTGTGGAATTCCACAAATTACATTCAGTTCGTCTGATTTTACACCATTTACAACCGTGTACTGTCTTCTATCAGTCAGGTAGTTAAGGAACCATTCACAAGCCCTTTTGTCAAGTCCAATCAATTTCAGCTTATCAAGGAGGATAGCATGGTCAACCGTGTCGAAAGCCTTTTTAAGGTCGATTGTGACCATTCCAACAATGTCCCCTTTATCCACACTATCCAACCAGTCTTCTGTGACATTCAGAAGGGCAGTCGCCGTTGAGTGCTGAGGCCTAAATCCGGATTGCTTCACGTCAATAATACTATTAGACGATAAATAACTATATAATTGATTAAAAATAAGCTTCTCGAGTATTTTTGCTATAACTGATAGTATTGAGATTGGCCTATAGTTTCCCATTTCTGACCTCTGCCCATTTTTGTGGACAGGTATAACTCTAGAGCATTTTAGCTGGGTTGGTATTTTTCCCGTTTGTATTGTTAAATTGAAAATATATGCTAAGGGTTTTGAGATGATATTAGCTACTGGTTTCAATAGAAGAGAAGGAATATTGTCACTTCCTGACGTTTTCTTAGGGGGTAAATTTTTAAGCACTTCAACTATCTGCTCTTCTGTGATATCTTCGAGGGTACATGTACAATCGTATCTTCTGATATACTCTTCAAATTGCTTATCGACAAAAGATGATTTTTCTTGCAAGGAAGGGCCAATTTCAACAAAGAATGAGTTAAAAGCATTTGCTATGTCTTTTTTGTTACGCAATTCCTTTGAATCCTTTTCAATACACTTAATTTCATCTGTAGACTTAACAGGCATTAGACGCTTTAGGGATTTCCAAACCTTTCCTGAATTTCCAGTACTTTCAACAACACTTTTAGTAATGAATGCTGCTTTTGCCTTTCTTATCTTCATTGTAATCTGGTTCCTAAGCCGTCTAAATACATTCCAATCATCTTCATTCTTGGAGACAATAGCCCTTGCCTTTTGACAGTTTCTGGAACGAATTAATACAATGATTTCCTCTGTCATCCAAGGAGATTCGAGTTTCCGAATTCTTTTTTTTCTCAGTGGAGCGTGTTTTTCTATAACCTTTAACAACTTATTTTCAAAGTAATTATATGCGGATTCTACATTCTCAAACGTCTCAACATCTTCCCATGATATCTGATCTACATCATGCACGTAATCATCCACATCCACTTTTCCAATGTTGCGTGAAATATTATATCTATGGCAGTTCTCGTTACATGCATTATGCTTTGATCCTAAAGTACAATAAACCATATAATGATCACTAAGTGATATTGGAATAACTCCAGAATTTGTTATTTTTTCGGGTCTGTTTGTTATAATAACATCTATTGTTGATGAGGTACGTGGTGTCACCCTAGTGGGTGAATTTATGATTTGTTCCATATCATAACTCTCAATAATGTCAAACAGGTGTTTTGTCTGCCATGACCTTGTATATGATGCTACATCACAGTTCAAATCACCAAGTATCAATAAATCAGAGTCATGATACGTCTACATTTGCATTAGGTGGCCGATACCATACAAGTACCACAATTGGTTTCCTGTGTGATACTTTGAGCTCAATAGCTATTAATTCAAGTTCATCACTCATTATATCTGTTCGAATATTATATTTCAAATTCGATCTGATATAGGCAGCTACACCACCTCCTCTCCTAGGCCTATCCTTTCTCACGATATCATACCCATCAATTTTCAATTCTGAATCATCTATCAAATCATCAATATGAGTTTCACTTAATGTCAGAAAATCTATGCTCAGTCTTTCTTGAATGGTACAAAGTTCATCGAAATTCCTAAGTAAGGATAAGCAATTCAGATGAGCAAATTTAAGACCTTTTAACCTAGTTACCTTTTCTAATTGTTCGTCTAATCTCTCATCTGTTTCTCTTGTCATTCTTTCTTCATCAGAAGCAAAGCTGATTTCTTCTTCTTCATTAATAAAGTTAATGCTGTCATTCATTGTACTGTAATCATTTGCAAATGGCATTTCTTTTAATGTACATAAATCGCATGTCCAGTCTAAATTTGAATTAAATATGGAATCAGAAGTATGGGTACAACTAAGATGACACCAATGCGAACATTGGAAACATAGTAATGCATTATGATTACTTTTCACTTTTTTCTCACAAATAATACATGGAAACTTTATCGGCATCGTTATTATATAGCATAATGTCTCTTACGTGATCGTACTTTCTATTCTTCTTATCCAAGACGTTCGATGTCGCTCATGCCTCGGATCAGGGTTATTCGCCTTTCTTCACCATTTCCAGTCTGTACAAAGATTCGTCCGTCACGAGACCATGTCCTCGAGGTCGCGTCACACTTACGAGCAAAGTACATCAATGATTGGCGATGGGTTGTTAGATCTTCGTTGATGAAGATTTTACTCCCTTTGAGTTTCGACCTGGCGCTGTACACTTGTTGTCTCACTTTGTAGGTAGCGAATTTCACTATGATGCACTTAATAGAACTCAAATTAATTTGTACCATTCATTCGGTGAATCCATTAAAAAAGGGAAATTTATGTGAAATATAAAATAATAAACTGAATCTGAAACGGAAACTCCTTACAACTTTATGATGAAAGCGTATTGATTCTCCCTCTAATCTATTAAATTAGCGCACAATGCTTTTATCTAATCCACCTTTATTATTTTGAAACCTTCTCTTCACCGTTTATGAACATCAACTGCTTTTGATGTAAATGTGGAATAGATAAACGTCAAGCTTCAAAACTTGCATCACTTCTATCCAAGAAATCCAATCAATCACTAAATAATTATCGTAAAGAATATCACCATTTCATTTCATTTCATTTTTTATCATTTCCAACAAAATACAATAAATAATAACGAATACAGTGTACAATGTATACAAAACATAGTTACATTTGTAAAAAAAAGTTTTAATAGTAATGTATACATATTTTGAGGAAGACAAAAATAGAATTTTTAAATTAACTGCATTTATATTTTGAGGAAATGGAGAGGTCCACTGAAAAGCAGAGCTTGTAACTTGTGGACCCCTCAGATAATAATGACTGTGAAAAGAATATGAACAGCTCTCTTTCACTTTCTCTCACATCATGAATTTGCATCGTTCAATATTTTGCATACATTTACCTTTTATATTGGTGCACGTCTGGACGTCTGTATCAACTTTTAATGAAGCTTACAATGATCCATCCATGCTCAATATTTTATTCATTGATTATACAATAATTGATGCGCGTGTCAGGGAGGGAGTGGGTTTGTGTCTATATAAATCAATGCTAATCATTATGTCCAAAGTGGTTACTGCATCACAAATTAAATCAAATCGATTGGTATGGCACAAATCATGTTGCGTACCTTCTTCACGTTCAGTGCATTCATAAACTCGTCCAAATCAATGAGGTTATTATCTCCTGCAACTTCTTGGAAATGCTTCTCCAACTTCACCAGCCATTTCTCATCCTTTTCGTGCCTAAATTAAGATATACAGATAAAATATTGTTTACAAGCAAACTATTTTATTAATATCAAATTCAGTTTGTAGTTGTACAATCACGTTGAAAATATGAATTTTCTTCTGACAGATAACGAATCGATTAAGCTCCTTTCAAGCTGTAAACGATCTTTATGGAATAGAAGAAGTTTCTCATATACTATTTAACAAAGAGGTTGAAACACGAACGGACTTGGACTGCTCGTAAATGGCAAATTTAGCCGATCTGAACTTGATATGAAATGACTGTGGACGGAGTACAGACAAGATGGACGTATTGAGGACTGTTTATGACCGAACTAGGATCGTATTATAGACATTATTTTCATATTCTATCCCGATCACAACCCGTTTTACGATTGTCTAGGACGGTTCCAGAACGTAGTGAGAACTAGTCTGATGTGATGGGGGCTTAAGAGGTCTATGAGTTTTATTCTATAAATGGTTCTTGTTACGGTCAGTAGGCTTATTATACTTTTGTTATAATGGTTATACACAGGCGCGTACGCAGGGGGGGGGGGGGGATTTGGGGGTTAGACACTCCTTTAATTTTTTTTTATAATTTTTTTTTTTTTTTAATTAAAAAAAGTTATGCCAACGGCTGACCTAAAAAAAAGGTGACCTTACCCCCCCCCCCCCCCCAACGGAGCAAAATGTCAAATTTTCAAATTTCGAGACCAAAAAAAAAAAAAAAAGTGTCCTCTTACCCTCTTTGCTCGTTACAAACCGAACCCCTATAGGTCTCTGTAAGAAAAAAGAAAACAGAATATATAAACGCGAGTTTGATTATTTTGTGAATGTCCTTTGTTTGTCCCACAGGCACTCACTTAATATAGAAAACGTTTGTCTACTATGGTCCGCTGTTGTCAGTGGCGGATCCAGGGGGGCCCGGGGCCCGGCCCCCTCCCCTGGGGGGCAACGTGCAAAAACACGTTAATTTTACCTTTTTTTGGACATGGGCCCCCTCCCCCGGCGCTCAAGGGGGGGGGGGGGGGGCTGCGATTTTTCAAATTTTCGAGGGCAAAAAAATAAATAGTGCTCACTACCCCCCCCCCCACCCACGCCGCTAAATATTTGTTCACAAATTTGGCCCCCCTCAACTTTGTATAAAGGAACATTTACATATCCAAATATTTTACAATGATAATGTGGGATATAGGGTCATGATAGATGGCCATTTCGATGGGTATTATAAAATTGTGGAAAGAAAATGAAAGAAAAGAAAGATTACAAAATTGGTGGTTGAAATATCAGTGGGCTTGTAAACAAAACGAATTACATCACCTTATGTTATTTTCGCAATTCACCTTGTAACTATAAACCAGAAGGATGTAAACCCACATTTGAAATGTTAATTGATACCGCCCTTTGAAAACTTTGAATAGGAACTAACCTTTTGGTTTCACCAGGCCTGGTGAGAATAAGATTTTTTACAATAATTGTGAAAGTACACGACACTGTTATTCTTTAGAGCTTATACGTGGTCCTATCAGCTAACGGCATTCTTTAATATGTTAATCAAATAACGTCATCACTATCGCCATCACCTTCATCATTATGATCGATATTTGATTTCAATCATGGGCTTCGTGGCAGACTATGAGGAATCTATTTATGGTGAGTTATGATTATCCAACTATTGTACCATCTTTTCATCATTGCTGTGATTTAAAAAGTATATATTATTTGAATAAACATCTGGTATTGGGATGAATTTATAAGAATTATGGCACAAAAAGAGAACATGAATATTACTGTCTGCCCATTTGAAAACCTTTTTTGGTTAAAGTTGATAAATTCTTAGCGTATGTCTTTTTGCTGTTTAAATGTCATGTTCATAATTACATATTCAAACGGATCTCCCGCAAATTGTGATGTTTTCAAGGTACTCAACAATTCCAACAAAGATAGAATAGCCAAGAATAAGGTAGACTTACTCTTCATTTTCGAAAGTGGAGAATAGACTTTATCTGATGTTCATATGATGTATAAATTATTGGAAGACACGTTGTCATAGCATCTACATTGTTTTGTTAACATATTATTTCATTCCCCCATTATCGCCTGCCTTAATTGTTTATATCTTGTTTGTTGTGATTGTTCTTTGAATTTTACCAATACAAACTTAAATAGATATATGAAAGAGATACATAATACATCTGGAATAAGATAAATACAAAATATTGCAGAAAGCGAGATTATTATGGACGGTGACAATTTTATGTACTTTATATCATAAGTCGTTCGTATTTTTGAATATTTTATAGTAATGATTACGTTCCATAGTATCCAGACTTCCATATAATATATATTAATAATCCCTTACTTTGCTCTTATCTGAATTATCAGAAAATTATACTGGTCATTTCGATTGTTCTTTCCCTTCCTATCTTTCATTTTTTCTTCGTTTTTCCTTCTCTATTCGATCGCGTCTTTTTCAAATTTTCTACTAACCATGACGCTGAAATTTGTGGTGTAATATATGTTTCCTGCACCTCTCACATAGATGAGACGCAATATCAACGTTCTTCCTTTTATGATGTAATCGTACGAACATTGTGGACCGACTGATCTATACAAGGAAACTCAACGAAGGGTTACTTCATCCTGTGTGTATAGCACAGTTTATAATTACCTTCTCTACAGAGTTGATTGAAATAACGATCAATTATAGACTCACTGAATCCTGTGTTATACGGGTACACTTATTCAAACTAATTTGATGTAAACAATACATACTATGGATATGATTCAACTGTTTAGTTTGATAGGTTACTGTTTTTTCTCCCATAATAATAATATCATCATTAAAAGCATCAATAAAAGAAAGACAATTTTCGTAGTAATCGAATACAATATTATCACTGCCTGGTGGTCTATACCAAGAAAAAAAAAATGGTTTCATATCCTTAATTCTTACCAGGATACAATTTTTTAAGTGTCAAAAGAGGAATGACGCAATATTCCAAAGCTTAATGAGTTAGAAACAAAATCTGCTACCCCACCTCCCTTTATATTTCTGTTCTTACGGATTATATGAAAACCATCATTATCAATTTCATTATCAGAGACAGAATCGTCTAACCAGGTTTCATTTAAGGCAAGAATGTGAACATCGTTTTGATGCATCAGATAACTTATTTTTACAATATTGCGAAGAAAATTACAAACATTTAAATATAACATGTTCAGTCCTTTTTCTTGTTTCTTTTTTCCTGTTGTCTAGAATTGTTCCTTTTTATTTGGATTATCACGCTTCATTGTTTCTTTTCCAGCTTTTGTTAACAAATATTAATTCATAAAAAGGGATCAGTTCTGCCCAATATTCTTACCATAATCACCGTGCTGCCCTGTTGGTTCGTCTGGTGGTAACAGCGAGGTTCCTTCTCCAGTAGAAGTGCTTGCCACGTCGTCAGCCATCAATTAAACTCAATCAATATCAGCAATTATTAGGGAGAATTGAGGAGTCCTGAAAAGGACTCTCGGTAATCTTTCTTGAGGGTGTGTAGTCCTGAAAAGGACTGTTGTGTAGTATTGAAAAAGACTGTTGGTTATCTGTCTTGGAGAGGATGGGTGGCGGGAGTGGCTTACAAGCAGCATCAATCTGTAATGTTTTAAAAGTCACTTCTACAGATTTTCATACGATCATTTTGCTGCAATAGTGTGTAAGCAGGGGGATGGGAGGAGCAAGAAACCTTCGGTTTAGATTAGTTTTTAGTATTACGTACGCGATGTGGTCAGGAAAGGAAAAAAAAAACACATTTGTGTCAAATTGAATAGCGATCTGATTATAATGAGATAAATTTTCATTATACTAAAAAATCTACCAGTATATCAAGCAAAATGTAATTCAAGGCAAACTCTCTCGTTCAAAATTCACTCTAGCATCTGTCACTATCCGAGGGTAAATGTATCCAGGGGCTATAGAATGTGTGTTATAGAATTAACACGCGTTTCAATGGGATAGTCAAGAAGTTAGACTTACGACGGTTCCTAGGAACGGGCCCAAGGGCATCGCTGGAAGGTTTTAAACGGGGGTTGAGGGGGGGGGGGTAGTGTCAGACCAAGTTTGCTAACGTTAGACCAACAAGCGAAGAAAAGACGAAATCATATCTTCACTTTCTTTTTTTTTATTCGTAGTCGATCTCTTCAAATTTCTTCAAATCTACGACTTTACATCAATGGTGTAATTCTGCAGACAGAATTTTGAAATTTGAAGATGGGCAACCCCCCTCCCTCACTTGTGATGCCTAAAGGGAATCGTGTTCAGTCTTGCTGTAGAATAGACATACGCCTTGATAGGGAAAGGGGAGGTACTAATAAATAACGTTGGCATGGTGATGGTTTGGGGTTCAAGCATTTTATCTACAGCTGTATCTCTATAAACAGGTGTAATGAATTGATATTTTGCCTGGAAGCCGACGACGACTGAGAGAGCAGTGAGAGAAGGAAAGAGAGAGAAAACGAGGTGGAAGAGAGAAATAGGCAAAAAGAAGGGATGGTAACAGGGAGAGAAAGATGAAGAGAGGGTGAAAGAAAGAGAGAGAGAGAGAGAGAGAGAGAGAGAGAGAGAGAGAGAGAGAGAGACAGGTGGATAGAGAGGCAGACAAATACTGTGGTGGAGCAGTTTGTGGAGGCACCTCCATCGATCTCATCTCTACTATATGCAATGTATACCATGACTTATTGTACATAAGCCTTGTATGTGATTTGAACCATCTGGCGTTCAGTCAAAATGTCTATATTGACAAGTGAATCAGTGTAAATAAATCTAATTGTTCTACATGTCTGTAGCACGTTTTAATTTCCAAAATGGGAACTTCATGTTATTCAAAGAAATCTACCCATATAATTACTTAGCTGCCATAGATGAATTGGAAAGGCATGGGGGAGAGAGAGAGAGAGAGGGGGGGGAGAGAGAGAGAGAGAGAGAGAGAGAGAGAGAGGGAGAGAGAGAGAGAGAGAGAGAGAGGGAGAGAGAGAGAGAGAGAGAGAGAGAGAGAGAGAGAGAGAGAGAGGATGAGGAAGAGATATGGTATACACATTTACCACTGATAAGCTGTTTTTCATTTTGTACTCTTCTTTACTTGAATTTTTCCTCATCTTCTTTATTTTCTCTCTGTAAACCTAACTGTAAACTCAAATGTCTAGTAATTCTGAAATACCAGTAGATACTGATGACTATTGAGAATGTTTCTAACATTGGAATTTTTTGTGAACAACAAAAAATACACCACAAAACATCTGTTTGGAATAATTTCAAAAATATTTAATGTGCTTTCAACAATTCATCAATCATCTTTACAAAAATTACTCAGTGATAAAAAAAAATCTTTATTTTCTCAACTTTACAAAAAATACATGTCATATCCTTGCAAGTACAGGAAATACTATTTAAGTACTACAGATTTCTACACAATTAACAAATTATAGAAAGATTGTGAAATAAAAGATACGTCCATCCCTAAAAGATCCACAGAGAAACACAAATTTAAAGGTTAGTACTATATTTCATCATTCACTACAAAATCCAATAACACAAATACAGAATGTTCACTCCATATATAACAAATTCAACATACATTCATTTTAGTTTAATTATGCACTGTTCATTTTTTTTTCTTATTGTAAAAAGATATAGGTTAACATCGAAATTTTATTAGAGGAAATGAAATGAAGTGTATCAGTAATCAAAATATTTATTTAAACAAAAATTGTGAATATCTTAATAAATGAGGACTGTTAAATATATGTATATCAATAACTACATCTGAAAGACATTTTATGGACTCAATCCAAAATGTGAAATGCATATTAGTTCTATTTTTAACAGATAATCAAATAAAATAATTCAGCATATCAACCTCTGATAAAAGTTAAGACCTCTTCCAAAATCAGTCAGCCTTAAATATTTTAAGCCTCAAAGTAAAAGAAACAATATTCTGCATTTATGACCACAATTCTTCCCCAACTATCATAATTTGTTATTTTTTAGAAAGAGTATGAGTGGATGTTTGATAATTGTTTGAACATGTCCATATTGGGGTGTGTTTCCTTTTGCATGAATAATTGAGGAATCATTTGTAGATACAGGTTTACAAGATTATACACTTACAACATACACAACACTAAAGTATTTGCCTTCTAACATTAAATATAAATACTTGATCAATAAATATTTGAATGAAACTACATATATTCCTAAATCTAAGAAGAATAAACAAAATAATTAATATGATTAATATGTTTCTAAGCCTCTCAAGAGTAAGGCACTCTATCATTAGCACCACTTACATCATGATAATTATACTTCGAAAATACCAGAATGAAGACATATTTGTTTACGTTATAATCAAGATAATTCCCTTATCTCTTTCTAACAGTAATTTGATACTTGTCTTACATGAGCAGAAGTAGGAGTACAAGTAAATGAATTGTTAATGGAGTATGTAAATTTATCGAAATAATTTTGTACTGTCTCTTGTAGTTTGAGTTTGTAGTTTGTAGTATGTTAAGTTGTAGTTGAGATTGTCGTTAAGTTTGTAAAGTGCTTAGGGAACTTTTTTGTTATTAAGCGCTTTTTCAATATTTTTTTAATCATTATTATTATTATATACATTGCATTAAAATCGTTCACGTAACAAGTACACTGATGATGAATTTTCACACATTTTTAAAAACATTTAAGGCATCCAGGAATGTGATTTACAATTAAATCATGTATATTTTTAAGTGATATCGGTCGAGTCCAGCTATTGCAGGAGCACTGTCTCCTGGGGGCGGGGGCTGAAAGTGATTCTACATGAAGTAAATGCAACAGAATAGTGTACCTGATTCTCATTTAACAGCAGTGGTTTAATGGCCATGGTCTACAGGTCTATAAAACTCTCTTATTTATATTGTTTATCTTTCCTTTGGCAGATTTCTTTGTGCTTTAACAAGCAGGGTATTTTCAAGGTTTGTTAAGACTGATTTAAAAATACTTACCATATCACCTGTGATATACTGATTTGATAAATAAAGTTGTAGTACTATAAACCATTGCACTCCAGAGCATCACCAGCTGTCTCACTATGAACATGACTGACAAAGAAAGCGGACAAAATATACAGTTCCTCAGGTAGATAAAGAAACATCCCTTCACTGATATTATGTAAAAATGTGTAGAACAGGTGAATTATGTAAAAATGTGTAGAACAGGTGAATATGCATGTGGCACCTGTTCTACACATTTTTACATAATAGCAATGAAGGGATGTTCCTTTGTCTACCTGAGGAACTGTATATTTTGTCCGCTTTCTTTGTCAGTCATATTCATTGTGTCTAGTTCTCACCTGATCATATCATATTAGATGCTAAATGGCAGAATATATAACTACATAGTTGAAAGACTTGATCATTTGAGATAGAACATTTGAGAAAGATGAGTAGCATTAGAAAAGTACAAATTACTGGAATCGATTTCTAATTCATATTGATTTATATTCATGTAGGTTATTCCATTGCATGCATTGAAGACAATTCTTAAAAATACCTTAGTTGAAATTTCATTGCAATACCAGTTTCTTTTCTTATTCAAAAAGATAAAAATTACTTTCTTATAACAAATATCAAAGTACTTCAAATGTCTGACATACTGACACCCTCACATGAAAAATCATTTTGATTTTGCTTATTGTGTTTTTTCCTAACATTATTTTCACAGCAAAACTTTGAAAATTTGAAAGCAAGAAACAGTGAAAGATCTGTGTTCAACCTAACAGTGAAAGATCTGTGTTCGACATAACAGTGAAAGATCTGTGTTCGACATAACAGTGAAAGATCTGTGTTCAACATACAATTGATGCATCTACATGTATAAGACACTGTGCTATGAATCTATGTGACATGTACAAAATTCTTCACCTTCTCAATAACGAGGGCTCAGAACCCCACATTTCAACAACAACAACAATACTACACATATTTTGATCATTAAAACAGTTGTGATATACATAAACTTTCCATATATCTAAAGAGGAATAAATCTGGAATAAATATTATCATACAGAGAACTATATTTGTTCTATTTCCATACCAAGTGACCTTTCAGAGAAAAAAAATCAGAGATTTAAATGAAAATTTAGGAATTGAGGGAAGTTTGATACCGGTATGCTCATACACAAATATTTCCATATAAAGAAATTAATTAATTTTTGTAAAATATAAAATGCTACCTGTTGTTTATGACAGCATTCAAAATGAATTCTGTCCAGAAACACCTGCATATGTGTAAACTGTCATGATAAGAATATGAAATGTGTGAAGCTTATGAAAACTTTCAATTAGGAAATTATTATAGAACAAAGTTACGATTTATTCAGGTTACTTTGCATAATAATCAGTACAGAGAACTAGGTACCACATTTCATGAGCCATATTTTTTCATATTGATTAGATACTGTATAATGTATATAAAAAAGGCTAAGAGAAACTCTTCATTAATACTGCATTCTCTACAAAAATGGACACATGCTTGTAGTATTTATTTTAAAAAATACAAATTTCTGAATAACCAATGATCTGCAAAGTGGACCTTCCAAGACAGATAATATTTGTTTGTTTTTGCTCATTGAGGTAAATATTCATTTTAAATCACACATAAATCAACTATTGAAAGAATTATGAGGGACTAGTAGATAACAACTATATACTTAGTATCCAGGTTACAATTTATAAAACCTCATTCATGGAATATCATCATTCAAGGTCACTTTCATATTCTGAATTAATTGAATAACACAAATTCTCAAATAAGGCCTGTTTTCATCAGACCGAAGTTGCAAATAATCCAGCTATTTTAACCAGCCTGATTTCAAATTAGCCAGCTAATTCGCGTCTTCATCAGCCCGCAGTTGCAATTAGAGGGATATTTGGTCGAGAAAATATCCAGAGAAATCCTGGTCTTGTTTCCAAAATAGCCCGCTATTCGGGAAATAGCGGCTAATTTGCACCCTTCTTCATCTAATCTGTGAAGATGCAATTTTGAGCTTCGGTAATATATCCCGAGTCTGAAAATAGCGGGTTATTTTGCAACTTCGGTCTGATGATGACAGGCCTATAGTCTCACTACATCATATCATCAGCTGAGAGTCAAAAGGGCATTAAACCGTATGATATGACATTGAGTAACAACCCTTCTGCTTCTATGCCACGATCCTTCAAAATGTCACCAGAATCATACAGTACTTTGCACAACGTAGAGTAAAAAAAAAAAAATTCCAATGTTAAATTGAGTACAAATGCACATTGTTTACAAAGTATGGATAACCCCTTGGAATTACTCCAATTCTACAAGAGCTGACACAACTCTGATCAAGGAATTGTAAGCTGCCTGCAATAAGGCCATTACGGCTTTACATGTCATTGTTAATGGTAGTTACAACCTTATGGCAAGCAGCCCACAAAATAACAGCTCAGACTGGCTTTCTATAGAAAGGTCCAGGCAACATATTGATGACATAGAGATGGAGAATCATCCATTCATGTTTCACAATCTTTCGTTCTTTTCTTACTTCAGTACTGTCTCATGTCGACTTCAAACCTTCTTTCAATCCATTGCTTTATGTCATAAAGTGTCCTCTCCATTCTCTTCCATTCCTTCTACCACTCTTCTTCCATTTTTTTGTTCTTCTTTCCAACGATCTTCATCATGCCCTTTGACATGTAGTATGGTTTCTCTGCACTTCCGTCATGGCGCTCAATGTCTTCCACTAAAAAAACAAAAAATTACAAGCAAAAATTACTTTAAAGCCCGTCTGCACTAGTCTGGCCACGAGGGATTAGACCTCCCTACAAGGTCACTGACAGGTGGTTATCCCATCAACTCAGCTCTCAATTAACATAAGAAATAGGGGATCATGGGGGACCAACGGGCACCGCTTAGGCATTGTTTGCCATATAGAGGGCGCAAGTAGCTACAAGTAGGACAGTCTGGCTTTAATGCCTATGTCTATGCCTATGTTTATCTTTTTATATCTGGTTTTCATCAAACTGGTTTCAAAGTCGAGATGAACATTTAGAATGATGATGATAACTTGATGCTGTAAATGTTTGTTCCAGACTCAGAATTTATATCTGATAAATGGTTGTGTGTAAACAAAAAAAATCCTTCATTCACACATGTCTCTTTCAAACAAGCTGCTTAGGTATTGGTGATTCGAGACTACATTTACCTACATTTACCTTATTCTTAAATAAATTCTTTTTAAACCTTATGATTTAAAGAGTAGTTCAACCCTATCAAAGTTTAAATATTCATGTAAACAGTTCTTGTTTAAACAAATGAAGTGCACTGAGTAGATTTTTTTTTTTTTTTTTTTTTTTCTGTACAATGTTCTGCCTGCGGTGTGTCTGTGTGCATGTGAATGAATGAGGGTGGGTGTATGTTTGTTTTGATAAGTTTTACAATATTTGTTATAATAATTTGCTTGTATGATTACTTTTGTACAGGGCCCCATTCGCACAAGCTTTGCTTTTCTTGGGGTCCTTCCGATTTTGCTGTTAATTTGTTATGTATTTTATTTTGAATTTTAATGGAAAATAAATGAAATGAAACATTTATACACAAGATCAAACATCAACACATACTATACTAAAACATATCTTGGTGGCAACCTCTCTATCCAGGCTACCTATTTACAGTGGTCACTGAAAAAGTCTTCTTCTATGAAGAAATATGTATTGTGGAACCTGTCTAGAAAGGCCACCTGTCTATAGTGGTCTGTTTAGTTTGTTTCTCTGGGTGGAACTAATGGACTATTTGACTGTGCATTACCATTCCCTTGCAGACTTGTGACGGAAGGAAATGAGAATACTTACGGAATGAGAGGAAGAGTGTATCCACAGCCATGTCAAAGACACCAAAGAATGCCTTGGAAATCAGATAGACTCCTATTCCTATGACCTGCAAGAAGAACAGACATAGCACAAATGTGACAGATGATAGAAAGGAGCTCATTGACGCTTCTTCTACTGAGAACCAGGATGTAACTCATGTGCTTATTTATGCAGAGTGGACATCCGATTGGACTCAACAATATATGAAGAGCTTAATTCCAAAAGGAGCTAAATCCAATTTTGATGAAAATTGATTATTGATATATCAGAACATTGTTCACTTAAGTCTTTCAACAAAATTATTTATTTAAATTTTGGGAGCAATTATGAAAAAAAGCACCTTCTAATATCACTTTTCCAAAGACGTCTGTACAAAATTTTGTAAACAATTTCTTTTTTTCTCAGAAGTTACAAAAATGGATTTAGCTCCTTTTGGAATTAAACTCTTCATATATCAAAACAAAAATAATAAAGACACAAACTGGTGATTAATTGTGAACAAGGTCATGATCAGTATCATTAAGTCTGCAAACATACACAAAATATACATATAGGTTTACATCTTTTACTACGATAGAAGATGTCATCCCCTCTATGAAATGACATGTTTTCTTCTATATTTCACAGATATTAAGAATTAAAAGAATGGTGTCTAAAGTTATTCTTTGCTCTGTTCTTTTAATACTTACAATGATTACAACCCAGTAGTAGTTGACTGCCGGAACAGGAAGTACAGCGTTGACCCAGGTCACTTCAAGAGTGAAGTAGAAGAAGGCTCCTACGACGACCAGGGATACAATGAGAAGCTGGCCCAGGAATAGCAAGAAGTCTGTGATCTTGTTCACTACAGCAACTCTATAGAGGGCAACATAAAATTAAAAAAGAACACACACACATTAACCATCCGATGAATCAGTTTAATTCAACTCTAGACCAAACACTATATTGAAATATAACCATGACCATCACTACATACCTGCCAACATTTGAAAGTAAGATTTAGGAATTTCTAGCATGGTATGCCTTCGAAATTAAAAAATCTGTACTCTTTACAGGCGTTCGCACATGCAGCGGCAGTGTAACTGGCAATACGCGGTAAATCAGTACAAATTCGCTGCTCGATAAAGCAGCCATTCAAGGCACGCAGTACGTGAACTATCAAATCGCGGCACATGATAAAACAAGCTAGTTTGGCTAAAAGAAGGGGGGGGGGAAGGAAAAAAAATGAAATTTTGAAAAATCTGAATGTTCCTAATCAGAATGCTCTGGATTATTTGGAATGGTTGGCAGGTATGTCACAACCACATTGCAATTAGGAGCTTCCTCATATCATTAGTGGTTTCCAAATTCAAAGACTTTCCTACTTCATGCTACTTTTCTCACTATCATAAATTGTTTTGTTTTACATACCTGACGATATTCCTCAAGAGCAAGAAGAAGGCTTCTTTAGCAGAGGAACAGAAATTCTTCCCATAAACAGCAACCTGAGGAGAACAACCAAAGAAACAATTTAGAATGAAAAGAAATAAATGCACATACCATCATGAACAAAATGCATATACACATATCTTCCTGTAAACAAAAAACAAAGAACGATGGGAACATTTTCAAAGCTCATATCATCATGAATAAATTATTTGCTTGATTCAAAGACATACCTGTACATCTGGAGGTCATTACTTGAAAAATCAAGAAGTTAGACTTATGATTACTTTGGGTAGTGACTCAGTGATTCACAAATATTCATGTTGTTGTCCTAAAATTATCACATCACAAATTAAAAAATTTACTAATTTTGTTCTCCCTTTTAATCAATTCTCAAGCTGCTCAAATATCCCAAACGTTGCACATGTACATATATAAATGTCAGTCCCATCATGACTACTGTGAGAAGTAACTTTGTTCTATTCCTTCTCTACTACAATGACAAACTATCTGTTATCAGAAGAATTGGGTATTAATTACTAATCATATTCTTACCAGAATATAGGCATTTTTGTTGATGAACTTCATGAATTTTTCCAAACAGTAGAAGCAGCATTTCATACACCTCAGGATAAACTTCGCAACCTTGTTCTCTTTGCCTGTTATCATCAAAAGAATAAAATGATAGAGATAACAAAGAAGACATGAGAGAGAAAGAGAGAGAGAGAGAGGGAGAGAAGATGGAGAGAGAGGATGAGAAGAAAAGAAATGGTGGAGGGAGGGAGCAGGAGGGAAAGGAAGGAAGGGTGAAAGGTTGAGAAAGTAAAAAAGAAAGAGAAAGAGAGAGATTGAGAGATGGAAGAGAACAACGAGAGCATGAGGTAGAGAGAGAGAGAGAGAGAGAGAGATAAAGAGATAAAAAGAGCAACATTTATATATATATTTTTTAGGGAGGAGTAGAGAGATAGATGAGAAATGGACAGCACATAGATGTTTAATAAGTAACTGTCATTTATTCATGCAACAAAATTCAATTAAAATAAACTTGTGTAAAGGTCAATCGAGTCCCTACATGGTACAAGTACATGTACACCACAACACAATATGCACACAACAACTTCAGGGGGATAGATAAAAGCATGATGAAAAAGTTATGTACTGTAATTCTACATTTTGATAATTCTGAGAGATACAGACAAAGTATGGTTTTAAAAAGCGACAACCAAAAGTAAAACACCTTTTATTCCACTTACCTTTGAGTTGGTATTCTGCATATTCGAGTAAGACCCTGATGATCTGAATGATAGCGATGATGAGGGATCCAAACGCGATAGTTCCAAGATGATACCTAATGTATACAGATAAAAAAAATAGAAAATGATCATACAGTACATGTAAGTCTTGGTCAACTGGCTGAATACTCTGAATTCAAAACCCTCTTTTGAGAGCCAGGGGAAGATTATTTCTATGTAAAAGCATATGATTTAATGCCATCTGGCTATCAGCAGGCAATATTTTTATTGTATGTTTTAATAGTATTACCCCTGTAGCTCCAAATCCCCCACTTTTACCTTGATAAGCAATTCTAGTCATAATCAGAGCTTATATACTATTTCATTTCTGGTTACATCTTCAGCATGTATTCACATTCCTATGGTTCAAAATTCCCTTGAGTGCTACTTAAAGGCAGAACCAATATATATTTAAAATTCACATGAGTACAGTAAAATAACCTAACAAACTGTAACACTATTCATATGACCATTTGTAATCCCAATCATTTTCAACTTGAACATTATCACATTGAATCAGGCTGTCATTTCTTATCAATGTGGTCATACATGAAGTCAAATCTGTTGGTGTAATTTTAAAGCCCCACTGTACTACTTGTAACTACTCGCTCCCTCTATATAGAAAACAATGCCTAAGCGGTGCTCGTTGGTCCCCCATGATCCTCTTTTTCTTATGTGAATTGAGAGGTGAGTTGATGAGATAGCCACCTGTCAGTGACCATGCTGGGTGGTCCAATCCCTCCTGGCCAAACTAGTACCGACAGGCTTTAAGAGGTGACAAAAGACTCCTTTGCTCACCTCAAGGATCTGTAGAACGCTCCGCTAAGAGCGAAGAACGGAACATCGTCCTTCTTGTTGAACGCCCAATAGTAGGACGCAAACGCTCCCGCGAGGGTCATGTGACTAAGTCCGATCACGAAGTTGATGAGCCAGAAGAAAACAAAGAGGTTGTAGAGCTGGAGCCATTTGAAGTACTCTGGTAGGCTGTAGTCGATGAAGAGGCAGGAGAGATCGGTGTCGTTGCTTGTCAGGTTGTAGTCTGCTGTAAAGGTCTGGGGAGGATTCAAAGAGAGAGAGAGAGAAAATGAATTTCCGAAAGAGAAAAACCCAATTGTGCAATGAGTAGTGCTGGTCAATGATGGATGTTCTAGTGGCTTGTTTTTGATTTTCTTTGAGACAACATTTGTTTTTATTCTTTGTCACATTTTACTTTGATGATATTGCTATAATTGCTCAATTACAAATTTACAATGTATATATTTTTGCCATTATCATATCATATGGAGGTTTGTGATATTGTTCAATTTAATAAACTAATCATTATAAACTACTTGCCTGTTGTTTTATTTATTCTTTAAGACCAATTTATAAAGAAACAATATCACACAAAAAGATAAATCATTCCTTTCAAATTTGAAAACTTTTTCAAAAGAATTGCTACAAATAATTCAAGTAATACTAATCTTAAGATAAAAAAATAAAGGAAAACACAGAGTGGACCCTGGCCTGTTTTAGTCTTAATCTTAAATAGATAGCTTCTTAACAAATTCATAATGAAATAATTTTGGAACTACTTGACAAACCAAAATTAAAATGGGAATCATATAGAAATCAAAACGTAGAAATCAAACGAATATCATAAATATTCTACAATTCAAGTATGACTATATAATATACTTGGCAAGAGGGTATTATTGGGAAAATTCCTAAAGGCAATTATCTATTAGGAAAGCAATGACTTTCAGCCAGAAACACAATTAGTGTAAAGTAAGATCCTCTAATAAAGATGTTATATTCATAATTGTTGGCTAGTTGTCTTGTGTGATCCAGAAGGCTTTAACTCAATGTATAAATTTATGAGTTACGGTCTTCTGTAACCAAGTAGATGATGTATTTTACAAAGATAGAAATGTGATGACTACCACAACAAAAGAAAATGCTAAGATAAGTGCATAGAAAATGAAGATTTGATGCTTTTTCATCAATGATTTATTAAGGTTTATTTTATTGTAGTCAAGAGCCAGAAAGTCTTTAAAGTGTGCCAATCACCTGAAAAAATAGTTTGTGTATGTAGCTAGAATGTATAAAATCTTTACCTGGTATTCTATAGGTAATCAGTTAAGGAGTATGAAGAAGATACAGGATAACATAAACCCTGCGTTTAGGGCTCCCATAGATAGATGTGTAATAACTAGTCTACAGAACAAGACGTTTTACTGTCCACTGCAATTTTTTTTATCTTTGTAGAAGTAATATTTGAAGCTCAAGAGCAAAATATGTTTTGGTTTTTGTACACTTTAACTTTTTCACATTTTTAAAGAGTTAAAAATGATTTCATTGTGCAAACAAAGTGCAGAAATTGCAGAAACTTTGAGACAAAAGATGAAATTGAAAAGCACACACCTGCATAACATATACCTGAACGGATTCATACTTGTCTAAAACTTATTTAATATACGTATATACATATATAATTAGTTGCTGGAAGTTTCCATACACATACAATTGTGTATACAGTTTACATGGGGAGTTTTCGCCATGCTTTTTTTTATTTTTAGGAAAAGCATTGCATGCAGGCATTTAATTCATTTGTGAATATACTAGCATCTTGTAGCATTATTCTCAATCACAATCTATAGCACAATTAATGTTTGGGTTCTGAGTAAAAAAGAATGCAGAGATAATACTTTTAAAAGAACTTACAAATATTGGCCAGACGTTAAATGCATAATAGATTTTATTCTGTAATTTGGCAAACACACACTAATAAAGCACTACACTATATTGTGTATTTGTATCAGAAGTACTATATGATAGGCTTCTAATATGCACACAAAAAGTCAAACATTTGACTTTAAAAATTTGCTAGTGTGATTATCAAAGCACAACATTTGTGAGAGAAAGAAATGGCATATTTTATGAGAAGAAAAAGTGTAAATTACATAGACTATTATAATGACAAATTGTTGATATTTATTTATATTTTAATCATGAATACATCAAATGATTTTCAGCCAAGTATTTGAGTATTCATTTCATTTCTATTTTGTGTAATAATTATCAATGCTTGTTTCCAAAGCTTTAACATTCTTTTAAACCGTGATTTTGATTTTAAATTGTTGTTTATTTCTCCAACATACAGTATTAACTTATTCTGTTTTTAATCAATGATCACATATTAAATCCCAAATCTAAATATTTACATCGTAAACATTTTACAGTAAGTCCTTTTTTAATATATATTTTTTTATAGTAAACTGAATTGAACCAAATTGATTGAAGGACTTTCAGACTGAAAGTATGAAAAGTAACTAGGGTGCACAAGAAAAAAAAAGCCAGAACAACTAGTTCTGGTCGACGCCACACACAAACAAAAGGTGTGCATTACAAATGATTAAAATTGTTACAGAAACACTTGAAGACAATGTGCATATACCACTCACAATTCATGTTACTATTTGCTCATAATGTAAATCGCTCAAATTTTTTATAAAGCGTCATTATTGCGTGAATAAGTTTGCTTGCATTTCAATAACATTATTTGCTCATAATGTGAATTCTCACAATGTAAATTCTTACAATGTGAATTTTCTCAAGCTTCATACTTATAGCTTTATAATTTTGTGATTAAGATTTAGAGGGATTGCATTTTAGTCTTTAGTACAGAGCAGTTATTATAGATGAAAGGGGTAAGAATAATAAACAAACACACACAGACATAAAGCTTTAGAATCTTAATAAAACATTATCACAAAAGCAATTAGAAGGAAAGATGAGTGTTACAGATTACAACAGAGAAAACATGAAAATGAACTGTTTACATCAGAGCTTGACTCCTCTTGAAAAGTCTGTGGAAAAGAACACATTTTGATATGATGCTAAATTTACTACATGATTTATCACCTGAAGCCAAGGCAACTGATATTTTCACAGTAAACAACAACAACAACACAACAAGAATAATAGTAATGATGATGATGCTGCTATTACTATTACTATTACCAATCTGAGAATCTACACTACATGTATAACAATTCTATATATATTTCATTCATATCTAAACAAGTGGTAAAGCTATCATAATAACAACATAACAACATAATGCACAAAAGTACAAATCTAGTCACTGTAACATGAACTTATTATAAAAGTTGTTTACTTTTGTAGCACAAATCTGTTTGCAGAACAAAAGCAAACTACATGTACAACAAATAATTCAATCATCTTTCATGTGCAGGTTTTTTTTTCATTTAATGTCATAAGATAACAATACCATGTTATCAAGTTAGAAATGGCAACATTATTTTTCAATGATCTCTAAGTACATTTCATAAGCCATGGATCTAGTAGAGTTTGCAGATGGATAATATGCACCAAAACAAACACAGAAATGATAAACTATGTAGATGTCAATTATAATTTAATACTGAAAGAGTAACAATGAAACAAGGACAACATACATGTGCATGTACCAATGAAACACAAGCCAATTGTTTCGCATGGAATGAAAATATACTCTGAAGTTCTAATCAGCTAATGAGCTTGGTGTTTGGACTGCTTAACTTTATCTATTTGGGAAAGGGCAAAAAAGGGAAATCGTTCTCACACTACATTTGGGTACTAAATAAATGGAAAAAGAAGTAGATTGACAATAAATCTATTAAAAATGAAACATTCTTTAAAATCTATGCACACTTTACAAACATCATACACATGAATATGAAATAAATGAATCACTGAAATACACAAATTCATTGCCCACAAGATGTTTTTGTCTATTTTGTTGAACCTTTGAAAGTTCACATCTCAGTTTGATGTCTAGTTGAACACTCAAACAATTAAAAAAAATGCTCTTTTTTTTCCTGCTTCATATCGAAATACACCTGCTACAAAAACCTCAAAGATAAGAGCTTTTCTTTACTTACATCTATATCACAAGAATCCCCAGTGAAATTAGACGTTGTAGCATCAAAGACCTGATACATAGCCTGCTGGGAAGTGGCAAGGTACCTGTGAGATTAGGAGTGTTAAGGAGTTTTTTTTTCTGCCAATAAAACCCAAATTTATGAATCTCTTAAGAAATTTATGAATCCTATTTTTCATTCTCAGCAACATGGTGTGGAAATTAAATGTTATCAAAAAGAATTTAAAAAGCAAATGCTGCTTTTGTATTGTGATAAGTGCTTTTACTGGAAGAAAATGAAATTATACAAGAAAAAGAAAAGGGCATCATGCTTGCTATCTCTCATTACATAATTCTATTACTTCAATGTCTATGAGAACCATCTATGCATTTAAGCTCATGGGAATAAAAAAAACATTCAGGATGGTATTTCACAATGCTGTCATAAGTACAGTTTACAAGCTCCACCTGAAATGGATGTATTAGAATAAAGTTAATAAACATACATTTAAATTGGATGTCTGTCAACTTGAGCTAATGATTGTGTGAAACACCCAGTAGTCGATGGGTGCATGTTACATGTTTGAAAACTTAGTGACACTCTAAAGTTTATTGACAATTAGATTTTTAAATTTAAAAAAAGAAAACAAGTGAATGTCAAAGGATACACTGCTATGCCAACCCAGAGTGCGATGACCCCAGTCTGAAGTAGGAACGGGACGATCGGCCAGAACAGTGTACTCCACATCGAGCTGACAGCCCTGCAAAGACATAGAAAAATAATCATGTTAACTTTTGGTTATCCTCTCTTTAAAAAATAAAACAGAAAGAGAATATGTTATGTATATATAACATCATAAAAAGGACTACCAAAGCAACAACCACAATATTCCCAGAAGATATTGGGCTGGTCATTTCAATATCAGAGCTAAACTGTTTATACATTTGTAGTAGCTTAACAAAATATAAAGAAATAAATACAGAGTAACTGAGATAGTTATGATCTTTTTCACTTATTGGAACCTAACAAGACTGAGTAGATACATGGAAACAGTTAAATAATCTTGAAGCCTTTGGTATATCTAACAAGGTAATCGCTCTTTTTGCAAAGCTTCTGCTGAACTTTGGAACAGACTACCTTTAAATGTCAAAAACTGTCAAACTGTTAACCTATTCAAAACTAGTCTTAAGACACATTTATTCAAAATTGTGTTCAGTGATTAATTCACTCTGTTCACTTTGATGTGTATTCCATTTGTATTGTAATTTGTAGGTTTATTTGCACTTTTTAGTTTTGTTTATTATATGTAATTGTTTATCAGTCTATTTTGTGTGTTATAGCGCTTAGAGACTTCGGTGGTAAGCACTTTATAAGTAACGTTTTTATTATTATTATTATTATCTATCCCTGTATGGCACAGGGAGATTATAAGTGTGTGGCATGCATGTATAAAGAGAGATCTTCACTCGACTGCTTTATACTTACTTGCTAGACTCCGATATGAGCTCAACGGCAATGCGGATACGTGAGCAGAGACAGATCGTCAGCAGGAACAAGATTAGAAACACTACACATAAGATGATTCCTGTCATGAAAAAAAGATTCAAACAAAATCTTTGTCATTGATGAAATTTTCCAACATGAGTTTTAAACGTTTTGTGAAATAATGCATGGAAACTTGTTCAATTCACTGTTTGAAATCACGTGTCTGGATTTTCAACTTGTCCGGACCTACAACATATGGGTATACTAATTACAAGAAATTGTACAGGTAACACATGGTTTATGACACATAGGGTGACAAGTGCTTCACCCTAAATGTGGAACTCCAATCAAACTACTAACTGTGTAGGAGCATACTGTGGTGTACTGGTGAAGGCTCTCATAAGAGAGGCCCTAGGTTCAAACCTAAGCTTGGTGCTTACGACCTTGGACGAGGTGCTCTACCTACAAGTTTTTTTTTCCCTCTCGTCCCAAATGAGCACCAGGCAATGTTGGTGCAATGAAAATAGCAGGGCCCTCATGGAAAGCAGTATTGAAACTGAAGTCCATCCTTGGACATTTGATGACCTGGATCCTGTTTCATAAAACTTGTTATTAATAACAAGTTACAATAGATGTTACAAGCTATTGAAAACATGGCTTTTGATTAGCTGAGAGCAAATTTGTTACATACAAAGTTATCATTTGTTATTAATAACAACTTTTATGAAACAGGACCCTGATACATCCCCCCCTTTTTTTTCTTTAAAGAGTTAAACCTTACAGATAATAATCCTAGTCTGCTGTCTAAAATAAGTATCATGAGTGGTTGTAAACTGAAGGGTAGTATCATCCACTGGTCCTGGAACCTTGCACATCCCCTCCCTCTTACTCTCATACCAATCACTTCTTTCAAATTCCATCCACCATGAAGACCTTGCCCCTCCTCTAAAAGCCAGACCTGCAATACCCAACTATATCAGATCATTAAAAGGGTAAGACTGGTGATGGAGAAAGATCTAAGCAGCAGCCTCTGGTGTGTGGACCTGCCCCATTGGCAGAACACCAGAGAGAGATCAGGGGTGTTTCACAAAGATCCTGAGTCAAACTTAACTCTAAGTTGGACTTAAAAATTATGGAGAGCCATTTGTAGCCTTTAAAAAAACAAATATTAAAGACCAAAAATTCAAATATTTTAGACTTTTTATGAATTCCACATCAAGAACACATAATCTTCTCGATAATAGAAAATATGAATGATTTGAATCAACATTTTATGCCTTTTAAAGTAACTTTTACAACATATTTTCATAGATGCTAATGGCTTTCCATAATTGTTAAGTCTAACTTTAATAGGGATAAGAGATCCTAAGTTCAATTTAGGATCTTAGTGAAACACACCCAGACCAGCATGTATATGTATGCTCACCTATGATGAGCCATGTCTGCTGCAGTCTTGTGTAGCTGGAAAGGTTGGTTGTAAACTCAAAAGTGATTGAGTCCATTGATCCAGCGACACCCTGTAAATCTAGGTATTGCTGGACACAACAATATATTCCTAGAGGGAACAAAATGTGTGGATCCATGAGATATACATGTATACATACGGACAGGACTATTTCCTGCATGCTTATATAATGTGTAAGTAATGGCTATAATAGAAATATTGAACTTTTGAAAAAATTGCCCATTTGCACACAAAAATAGTGATCATGAATTTTACTCCGCATTGCCAATTTAGATTCTCCAATGATTATTTTGTATTGAACCGCTTTTATTCATCAACAGCACAATGAACTAAAACAGAAATAAACTGAAATTTTCCAGTGAATTTTCACTTTCTGCTCATGTAGAGATTGTAAGTCAGAGCATTCTGGATCAAAAGTCTGAAAAACATCACTAACAGGTGACACTAAATGCTATTAAGGAACACCACTGTCTTTAGTTTTAGTAGCATGTTATCTCTATGCCTCACTTCTTTTTTCTAATTGCCTACTCTTTGTATTATGACTGTAATCTCCTATCTTTGTCATGTAAAGTACTGTCTTGTCCCGTTCTTGTCTCTGTTAGCACCCCCCCCCCTTTCCCCTATTTTGTAGTTCCTTTTATAGTTACGGACTTGTTAATTTAATAACTCATTATTCCTAAGTATCATTTGAGGTGTTCACACTTGTACAACCTTTGCTTTTTAGTGGACCCCACCGTTTCCAATATGTATTCCTAAATTGATGTAAATGTTTATAATTGATTTGTAAAGTTTTGTTGGAAACATATATAAATCTTGGTGCCAAAGTATAAGAGGCATGGAGGATGTCTTACCTGCAGCCAGTACAGCATGAAGACATAGAATGCTTCCCCAGACCATCACACCAGCTATCCATCTCATGATAAAACACCAGATCATTGATAGGACCATTCCAATACCAAGACCACTGGAAAAATTTTTTTTTTTAGAACATATGTAAAAGTAAGAAAGTTTGGCTTATGCATTTTCTAGGCCTTTGATTACATCTTGAGCTGCAAGCACTTACAACCTGAACAAAGCAATTGCTTATATATCTATCACCATACAAAGATACACAACAAAATGGCTGATAATTAATAATAATAATGGTATCTTATATAGCGCTCATGTCCGTCACGTTGTGACACTCTTGGCGCTTCACCATTACTACCCCGCTGGCAGCCAATAATGTAGCGCTCTGGCATATCAGGTACCCATTAACACCTGGGTCGAGAGTGGATTAATGTCTTGGCAAAGGATCTTAATGCCGGGGTGGGATTCGAACCCTTGACCCTTGGATGGAGAGTCAGGTGAATGAACTACTATACCATGATACCTCCACACCTCTACTTGCCAGTATCTCAATCATAATGAAGTATCCTTCTATATATCAGATATGTCACTGAACAGGTCTTGATTAGAATGAGATAAAACAACAGATTAAGATTACTTACATGAGGATGATGTGCCACGAGTTGACAAAGTCCTCGTAAACCACTTCCAGGACACTGGCTAAGTTGAGGAATTTGTCTACAGCTCTGTAATATGAAAACAGACAGTGGATTAGAGATTGTCAATGGGCCAATTCGCAGATACAGTCAAACCTGCTTTAGCGACCACCTGTACAAAAAGACCACATATCTACAAGGACCACATTTTTTTGTTTCCATTGAAAATGGTTTCTCATTGAATCCTGTACTAAAGGAACCTGTACATAAAGACCACCTGCCTATACAGACCACTTTCTGTGTTTCCCTTGGGCGGTCGCTATAGACAGGTTTGACTGTACACAAAAATTGCCCCAACCCCATGTAAAGGCCCAGTAGTCAATAATTATAATATGTCTTGTTTACCCAGGGTAGCCTCATCGGTATACATACTGTGCTCCATGAGGGCCCTGCAATCATATTATTACCCTGGCTTTAGCCAAGCTACCATGAGAAGGCGCTCACGCATTCCACCATGTAACACAGCTGATTTTACTTTGTGTACATTTATGCATTAAAAAAATTAAAGCGGAGATCAATGAAACACTGGAATAAAAAATTAAAAAAACATGTATTAAAAGATCATAAATAGGCTTACGATGAAAAAACGCTGGTGACATTATCATTATCGATGAGAGTTCCACCAAGAGTCTGCAAGTTTGTCAAACCGGTGGTGAAGATGTCCGCTAATGAGGCATTCTCTGCAACAAGGAATGCTGGGACACATCGATCAGCATCTAAATTAATGCAACATAAAACAGGCACATTAATGATTAAGTTACATCATTAAACAACCAGTGGTACCTTTAGCGAATGCAACATAAAACAGGCACATCAATGATACATCGTTCAACAACCAGTGGTACATGTGTATGTGCATGATTATTTACTTGAGATGAACTAGTGTGCTTGTTACAGTTTACCCTAATTGCATTTTAATGCAATATACTGGTGTCATTCATATTCTTTTCATATTATACCGGTATACATATATAATTGGTAAACAAAAAATCACATACATTATTTTATAATATGAACCATCAAAAAAACAAATCTACTTACAATTGGTACTTGGCAAGTAGTATGTAGCACACTTTCTATGTTCAAAGATCTTTGCAAGGTTCTGCAAGCATGAAAATGGAAAAAAATCAAAATGTCACATACAATTCTATTTCATCTAATATGAAATGATTGAATGAAATAAATCCATGTTATGTAGAAAATATTTCCGACAAAACACTTTAATAGTCTGAGTGATATTTTCATTCTTTCTGCATGCTGCCCTCTCAAGTTTATTTTGATCAAAATAAACTATGCATTATCAATTTGGGGGTTGTTTCACGAAACAAACTCCATGACAGTAGTATCTTTATTCACAACTTACAGAGATGTCAGGATGCGGATATCCTGTTTCACAAAACCATGATAAGCGACAAATTCAAGATTTTTGAAACTATCGGCTAAAAACATAGGGTGATATTCCGATAGCGCGTACTAAGTCTGGCTTAACTTAGTCCACACTTTTATGGAATGCCTGTTGCCAACTCATTTACCCTGTACAGATTATTTTAATCCTGCAATAAAAAGTGTCCAAAAAATTAATTTTGCAATGAAATTGGAAGAAAAAGACAATATGAGTATGAACTGAATTTCAACAAAGTCTTTGGTAGATTTTCTTTGTCATGAATATGAAGGGGGAAGATAAACCTAGCATTCCATAGAAGTGTGAACTGAAATTCTTGTTTAGTCTGGACTTATTCGCGGCTTAACTTCTGAGAATACCACCCAATGTCTTTGTCACGACCAATCAGATTTTATCCTGAGTTACCAATAAAGATTATGAGGCTTAATTTCACTCAAACTGATTGAAAAAGTAGAAAATCTAAGAGGGTGGTAGCACAAATCATTCAAACATTCAATTTGCATGAAAACCTGCGTTACTAAGGACATCTAACAATTATAAATTTGAGGAAACTACAGGTTGTATTTTAAACAAGCAAATAGAAATTTACAAGTAAGAAGAGGATACCATAACTCATACCTGGTTCCATTTTTATATGAGAAAATTTGTCTGTATTAGAAACTGTTCCATCTTCGGCAAGTAGACCGATGTATGTACAAACAATATTTACTTGTTAAGGAATTGAAATGTTATAGGAATAGTGTGTATACTTGTATAATGTTTTTACATTACGCCATTAGAATTCATCATCATCATCATCGTCATCACCATGTCATCATCATCATCATCATCACTATCATCAACACTTTCATCACCACCACCACCACCACCACCTATCATCATCATCATCCTCATCATCCTTATCATCATAACTACCATCATTGGCTGTACTTACCTGATAATAAGGCCCACTTGCATCATTAAACTCCGCCTCTGGATCAAATCCAGGCAAACATATGAACTCATCCCACATGTTGAGGTCCAGTTCCAGTTCATCAATAAATTTTTGTGCATCTTGAAGTAATAGGGTGTAAGGTGCAAACGTATTTTGGGGGCATTCTGACATACAAATCTGTAAAAGAAGAACAAAATAATAATAAGTAATGAAAGATGGTTCAGCAGTGTCCTACATCATTAAATGTGACAGTAACTGACTGTGATAATGTATTTTTAAAGAATTTTTACAATTGAAGTATACTTTACTTTTTGAATGAAATAAAATTATTACTAGAAAGCTTATAACATCCATACTAATGCTTGTAATTAAAAAAAAAAAAAAAGTCCAAGAGAGAGAGAGAGAGAGAGAGAGAGGGGGGGGGGGGGATTCATTCATGTTTCATTTGAAGCAGAAATTCTTGATTCTGTACACAACATGATGGACATGTGCGCTATACAAGGAGCCAACATTTTAATTATTATTAAATTAGGATAAAAAATAGAATCAATACAGCGATGTCCTTTCACAACTGAATGAGGATAAAATCTGAAAGTCTGAATGACAAATTACAGATAAGCATGAGAGATGTGTTTTTATTTTACATATTGTATATCTTGTTATCTTAAAGGGTTGGCGTCTTTACAAGTTTTGTTTCCTGTTTGGCCACTGCCTTCCTCACTTTTTAAAATTGATCTTACATATTTTCATACATTTGTCTGTTTATATATGTATTTTTATCTGTTGATCTCTTGAGAAGAAATAAATGAAACTGAAACTGAGAGAAGAAATCTTTACCTTTGGAGTAGGGCAACCAAAATTGAGCACCGTCGTCGTGATGCTGCTGAAACATTCTAACAGATCAAAGTAGAACAGGTAGCTGGCATTCCTGAAAGATAACAATGTGCAAGTATGTTAACTGAGTTTTGTTGAAATTGCACTCCATAATCACAATGAGAATATACATGTAGTAAGGGGGTGTAATAAGTTTATTTGCATGAAAGCAGAACTTAAGGGCACGTTTATCGGGGCTTGCCACTAGATATGTACATATCGTACCCACTATCGAATCCCACTAAACGATCGTGATTTGCGGGATGTCGCGTTTATCGACTCTTTACGATTCACAATAAAGGCCTTGTCTCTTCGCAGCTGCTCAGCACTATTTCTCTGAACCGGAAACTAGCCTGAGAATTCCTATTTGTATGTGAGGTTCAAAACAGCTTTGCGTTTATAGATCTCTCAGAAACGTGATTCTGGCTGTATGTCACATTCAAAACACACCTTTTTGCATCTTTAGATATGCCCATATCTAAAGCCCTTTAAAAAAGGCTTTGCGTTTATCACCTTCTATATTTGCCTGAAAGACGTTTGAGAAACCTGATTCTAGCCAAAATTTGGTCGATAAACGCAACCTATGAGAAACAGAACGGCGAAATTTAAAAATAAATGTGAGCAATAATAAGGAATTGAATAATACAATAATATTTTTCTCATAACACACATTTCCACCATGCAAGGTGTTCAAGGCCCTCCAATATCAATACATTGGCTGCCTTTTTACGGTACTCACAGCATATAAATTTTTGGAAATTGAGATCACTAAAGCTTAACGAATCTCAAATTTGCAATTGGGTCAGTGGATTTGACGTAGTCATGGACAATTCCCCGTTTGTCATGTACAAAAAAGATTATGACTTTCTGTTTTTCCCTAAAGTGCCTTCTTCCTCGGGGCACTTCTAAAATTATAACATGGATAGCGTATTATTTAAGGTCCTCAAAAAACAAAAGATGCTCTTGAGTCATACATTTTGAAAACATTGATGTTTTAGTCATATACCGGTAGTGTGTTGGAACAAATAAGAAAGTTGTCCAGCACCACATCACAGTGACATTACCAGTTCATCCAATTTTAAGTTCCCCTAAGTGACGTGATTACAATGTTGAAAACGTATAACTTTCGTAATTTTTGTTCGATTTCTTTCAAACTTTTACTCCAGTCTACTTCTCTGGTTTTCTGCTTTTGTTAGAAATAGTTTGTTTTCAAGGTTGGATTAAGGGTTACAGACAAACTAGCTCCCTGCCATTGCGTACTTACTTCACATTTTCATCAATTCCACAGACTTGTCCAAAGGAATCTGTAGGGTGAATCAGCCTCATGGGATCGCCATACATCCAGCCTGTACGGAAATAAATGGATACAAATTGATTTAATTTGATTTGAATTGATTGCTATGATTTGATTTGCTTGCTATGTTTTGATTTGATTTGAATGCTATGTTTTGATTTGATTTGAATGCTATGTTATTATTTGATTTGAATGCTAAGTTTTGATTTGATTTGAATGCTATGTTATTATTTGATTTGAATGCTAAGTTTTGATTTGATTTGAAATGCTATGTTATTATTTGATTTGAATGCTATGTTTTGATTTGATTGTTAATTTGTCATCTATCTCATCTGTAGGGGATTCAATGAATATGAAATGATATTACCTATTTTAATTTGATTGGAATGGATTTAGTATGCAGCCTCATATGATAACAACACATCCACCCCGGAGAGAATGCAATGAAGAGATAAATAACGACTTAACACTTTGATTCCTTTTTTCGCTTCTCTGCACGGTTGCTGGTTTGCCACATGTGCACTTTTGCCCAAAACTATAGGCATCAACAGTTACTGACAGAAGGATTACTTTGTGCAGCACAATAGCTTTACAAAATGTCTGATTTCCGAGCTTAAATTACCTGACAACCTTTTTAAAACTGGTACAGATAAATCTTGCACTAAAAAAAAATGTCTTCAAATAATTAAGCCTGCTATCCAGTCTATCCCATGACAAATACAATGTGGCACAGGGAGATTATTTGGGAGAAGGAATGGGAAAGAAATATATGTAGGACCAGAGAGATCCATTCCAAGAGAAGGCAGCAGATGTCAAAAAACGATTTTATTATTAAACATTTGTGAATTTATGGGCTTTTTGCTGATTTATGGTATATCAGTATCAATGAAGCATGATAATCTTATGCCATGTCTTCCTATTTATAATGTTTACATTTATCAATCCTCAAAAAAAAAAACTTTTATCTTTTCAACCACCTTTATATTACGGTTTAAATATCTTTTAACTTATTCATGCTTCAGTTCAACTCAATTTCATGCTCAATTTGGAAAACTTGATGAAGAAAAACATTTCAAAACACCACCCTCATCCATATTATTGAGAGTAGATGAATACATTCATCAGTGTGGTTAATTTACCATAAATCCCGGAGTGTGAAAATAAGAGATGTGGCAACTCATTTTCTTTTTTCTCATTCTGTCCATTTTCTAAAGCTAGGGATTTTGTAACATCCAGCTAGCTATCTATGTATATCTCCCTCTCTCTCTCTCCCTCCCCCTCTCTTTCTCTCTTTCTCCCTCCCTTATTCTCTCTCTCTCTCTCTCTCTCTACTCTACTCTCTCCCTTTCTCTCCTTGCCTTTCTCATGTTGACCTCTCTCTTCTTCCCCTTTGATATCTTCAATTGTCTGTTCCATTTCTCTAGTTCTCCTATATTCATCTCCTTGTATTTATACCTTCTTTCAAGTGCAATGGTTCTCTCCCCCCCCCCCCTCTCTCTCTCTCTCCCCCTCTCTCTCTCTCTCTCTCTCTCTCTCTCTCTCTCTCTCTCTCTCTAACTTCCTTCTTTTACTGTATGTATTTGAGAGTTTATGTTTATGTGAGGTTTGTATGTACTTTGGTATACTGTTATACTGAAAGTATTTATTCTGTACATTGTTTGATATGCCAGTGGAGGTGATTTTGGGTGTTTTTGATGGATCATTTAATATATCATAATCATAATCTGAATTATAATCATACTCTGAAACTATCTTACCCAATACTCCAACACCAATCATGCCGCCCACGGCCACAATGAAGAGAATACAACAGATCACATCTGTGCAGCTCCTACGGACAAAACATGAAAAAGAAGTTCAGATAAGACAAGATTCATTGTAAGGAAGCCATACAAGAAAACATCCTCTTGAGATATTAATGATAATATAATAAATATTGAAGAAACTACTTTTATAATACACACAAAAAGATGTTCAAGATGTCTACCAAGTACAATATTACCTTAGCAATAGCGAAGTTGAATGAAGTTTTATATACCAAACACCTAATTCTTACAGTAACACATAATGTAAGTTACGAGTGATAAAAGTCAAATGAAGGAAATGAAACATATTCCACAACATATTTGTCATATTATAAGAGATACCTTTTCTCCTCTAAATGAATAAAAAGTGGTGACTATTTTCATTGATTTCATTCATTATGAAACACCTCAACATTCAGGTTACTTCTTTAGTAGTCTAAAATAGATTGGTACACCCTTTTTCCCTTGACACTTAAAAAACCTTAGAACAGTTTAATAACAAGCTAGTAAAAGGGTTAGCCTGCATGAGAAAGTTGCTAAATATACTTGAATAGTAGGTCCATGCTTGAACACACCTTCATGATCACCTTAACTTGACCTTATATACTGTTTTCACACTGGCAATATTTTGCTTAACCCCGTACTATAGGTGGGGTTAAAGGGTATCTTAACCCCACCTATAGTCCGGGGTTAAGCTTATTCCACTTTCTTTTCACACTGGCAAAATGTTTCTTAACCCTGTACTATAGGTGGGGTTAAAGGGGGGGTTTTAGCCCCACCTATGGTACGGGGTTAAGCTTATTCCACTTTCTTTTCCCGCACTATAGGTGGGGTTAAGCCTATTCCACTTTCTGTTCAGACTCGTATTTACCAAAGTGGGCTAACCCTACCTATAGTACGGGGTTAACTAACCCTGCAAAATAGCAGGGCTAACCTCGCAATTGTGGTGCTAACTCCTGCTAACTCCGCAATTGCGGTGCCAAGCAAATGAACGAGAACAGAAACGAAAAAATAGTCCGGGACTACGCAGTGAAGCGAATTAATGAATTCCATGGCCATGGCTAGTACGGGGCTAAGGAATTGCAGTGAGAAAAGCAAAAAAAGTTAGTCCGGGGTTAAGGATAGTACGGGGCTAAGCATAGTACGGGGTTAAGCAAAACCAGTGTGAAAAGAGTAATACTGTATGTTATCAGTGAAAACGGTCATTAACTTGTACTGTTTTAAATTACATCCTTTCGGCTCTCAACAAACAGACAGCATGTACAAGTACACACATGCCTATCAATAGAGGTCACATAAGGTCAAGTGGCTGGAAGTCCATTAGCTGCATTCACACTGCAAGCAGAAATCATTGATTTTTCTCACATTCCAGTGTTTTTGTCAGTATTTGCAATTTTGCATAGCAACTACTGGCAAATTACAGAACAAAAAACCAAAATCAACAAAATTGTACCTCTGGAGTGTGTTTTTTTTAAAGGCCTGCCGAACTTCCAATGATTTTTGCAGCGCAAATTGAAACTTTGGTACGATGCATGTTTTTCATTACGTAACTCTCCTTGCTTCTTTGCAATCGCATGCAGAGTAGTGACAAGTCACACATGCGCACTATACTCACAAAAAATCGGTCTGACCAAACACTAACGTTTTATTGTGTTTTTTCCAGTAGTGTGAATGACAGTCCAAACGAAAATCAATGATTTTTCTAAAAAGTTGTTTGAGATGTGTAAATGGGCCTTGTGATAACTTTCACTTCTTCACTTATTACATGAATGAATCAGCTGACTGAATGACAGTTATCACAACCAAAATGACAAATTGCTTTTGATAGTTTCCCCTTGGCACTGATCCCCAGGTAATTGCCAAGCATTTCTCCCACGGTCTCGGAAGTTGGCCTTTGATGTTACAATTACAATTAAGTTGATGTCATAATTACAATAAAGGCTTAAGTGGTGTTACTGGTTGGCAAATGATTTGAATACATATAGGATTTCTAAATTGCCTTCGAGTTCATGTTGTTGATTTAGTAATGATGACCACGTACTCTACTACTCTGCTTAAAGGTAATATGAACTCCAAATTTCTAAAAGGAGAATATGATTGTAAACAAAAATATAATAAAATTTCATGAGCCCTCAGCTAATCTTTTAATGGATCATAGAAAACAGCATAATTAATATGAAAGTGATGTTAACATTCCAATTACGGAAAACACAGCGGCACAGCCTACCCTTTGTGATGCCCCCCTCAAAAATAAAAATAAAAATAATAATAATAATAATAATAATAATAATAATAAATAATAATTTTTTTTTTTTTTAATTTAATTTAATTTTTTTTTAAATAGAAAAAATATAGATATTCCTTGAGTGGCTACTCTCGTGAAAAAAGGAAAGTATTTTTACACTAATACAGGCCTAAAACTAATAAAAATTCAGGAAAATCAGATTGTACGCTTCAATTACTGTACAACACTTTTTAATAAATTTAGTTACACTTACATGTAGAAAAGTGTAACTTTAACCCAGCAATGAAAGAAAATCAAAGAATCACAATCTGTAAAAGGTAGCAATCTATAAAAATTGTAAGGAAATATATTCTAATCCTTGGAATTTACTTTAATACAGGCTGTGGGCAAAAGAACCACAAACCAAAATCCCATCAAAAAGTCAATCTATTCACTGTAATTCTTGACCTCTTCATTAAATCAAGACCTGGGGGGTGTTTCACAAAACTTGTCATCAGTGACAAATGACAATTCTTGTTATAAGCTACTGAAATCCTTGCTTCTGATTGGTTATCAGCAGATTTGTCATTGAAAAAAGGCTTTGTGAAACGGGACCCTGCCCTCTCATTCTGACCAGGGAAATCAAGCTTCCATCCTTTGTTGATGTATGTACTTATGCAGTAAGGCAAATTTACTTTTCTTCAGGTCTGGATTTACGTATTGTTGTGACGGAGACAAGCTCGTCATCATAAGGCTGGAGCTTTCTTCACTTCATTTTGTTTCCGTTACAAAATACACTAGATGTATGCATGGGCCTCAATCAGGAATACTTAGACTAAAAAAATGCACATTTTTACTCACAATTTAAAAGGGCAGATGAGTGACAACATTTTCAAAATGGTAGTAGATGATTTTTTTTGCCATATCTTAATTTTTTCCTCTTCTTTCACAATGTGCCTTGAGTATTTGATTTCAAGAGGATTCAGGGCCTTACAAATCTCACACATTAGTACCGGTAGGAGTACTATTAGGAACACTTTCGTAGGCTCAAGCCTCAAGATTAATCTTGAGATGATGAAGACAGGCCTAATTAGATTGTACAGTGTGAGATCGTGGGGAAACGATTATAGTGTATGTTTATATTCTGAACAATGCATTCCCCCAAAACACATGAAAGAAATCAAGAAAATCTTTTTTTTTTCATTCCTGAGACCTTTATCAACAGTGCAGTAATCATTTCCATTCAAGAATACTGTTTTAAAAACTCACCTGTTTTTGATAGGCCCATGGAATGAAGGATCATATTTCTTTGGTGTCCCTGCAGAAGAAAAAAAGAAAAGAAATGTATTCACTTTCACAAATTGATCTTTAAATCAATTGTACCCATACAATACATATTTCATCTTTGCCATACATTAAAATTCACTTTTCTGAGTGCTTGCCTAAAATGGATAAGATATGTGTATATATGTTACCTCTCTAAGATTTTCTCCAAAGCAAAAATATGACCTCATTTCATAAATTACCCTATACATGTGCATTGTATGGCTTCTCTCTTTAAAGAGCAAAAAGAATATATTCAATCCATTTGTGATGAAAGAAAAGATTCATGGACTTTGGACATGGGATTTCACAAACAAAGGGCACAAAATGTAACAAAAATACACTGTTCATAAATGTTCATTTATCAATGTCTATTTCTACAATTCATTCAGATTGTGGCGATGTTAATTGCACTATTGCATTTGGAATTTCATTATAGCTACATGTATATGTGAAACATATGAAATTGAACCAATGCCCCTAGCTGTGCTATTGATGTGTGTTTGAGTAATTATGTACTAGTTAGAGTCTGCAAATGTGATTTCAGAAATATTTCTCGCCTGCCTGATACAGACTTAAAGTTAATATACACATTCTGTAATTCAGAGTTTCTGACACTGTACAAAAATCTTTATCTCTTTCAAGAGACTTCACTTGTTCACAGAGCTACCAACCCCAACTAAACAAGAATCCTATCCTTTTCCAAAAAAATCCTTTGAAATTTTCAAATTAAAAATCCTATTTTTTGTTGTAAGACTGTGTTCGTCAACATTTTAAAGAATTATGCATGAGTACATTTTACCAATTTTTTGTCGAATATGCATGATTTCGTCTTGAAATAGTGGTGTTTGATGAACCAATAAACATCCCCAAATTGCCCATGTGAGATGCTTGTAGGATATTTCTCAGGAGAGAATGGGCATTTTGCTATTCGAAAAGGCACACACACCAAAAATACACAAGTACATTTAAATTTTTGGGAAATCCATGTTTATTTTGGTTTTTTATTGAGGAAAAATCATACTGTCGTATCGACTTCTAAAAATTGTGCAAAATATGATAAAATCATACTGGTTGGCAGCTCTCTGTGATAAAAAAAAAAATATCAATCATCTACGACAATGCATGTTTACAATATTCATGCAATCATAACAAATATTTTCAGACGATAAAATATCTACGTGATTAACATTCTTCTCTTTTTTTTACCTGAGTGACAAACAATGGATGACCACAACAAATGGTCATGAATTTGCAGGAAATCAAGGGTACTTCCTGGTCGCTGGTTACAGTGTTTGTATGTGGATAAGGGATCTAAATAGTTTTCAGGATGACCATTTTACAATGGCTTGTAGAAACATGTTATTCTCCCTTTTTTGTCTCCTATTTGAAAATCAAACAGAAAATCAAAATTGTGCCAATTGACTATTTGCATGAAAAGCCTTGTAAAAAATATCCCATCCACTATTTTCATGTTGTATCTTTTCCATTTAATCTGCAAAGGTTTGTTCACATACCGTACTTAGGATTTTTTGTATAAAAAGTAAGCGGGATGAAAAACAAAAGATTTCCCCATAAAGTTTTGATGAATTCTACATGTATAAAATGTATATCACTTTATATCACCTGGTGTTTGATATCAACAGCCTCTAGATTACATTCAGCTCAGCCCAATGAACTTGCCATAAAAGGCTTGCCAAACCTAGCAACTGTTCCCTATTTTGGGATGTTGGTAATTTGCCAATCATCACCTCTGTGCTCTTGCCATGAATCCATCAAATGTCCCTTTTTCCTTTTTTTGTTCTTGTTTTGCGATTAATAATAATAATAATAATAGTGGGTTCTTGTATAGCGCTCATGTCTGTCATACGTGACACTCCTGGCGCTCCCAATTGAACAAGGTTTTCCTAAGCAAGTATTTGCCAAAATAAAAAAATTGTCATTATTGAACAATGCCCTGATCTATCACTGAATCTCACGCAATCAACACTACACATGAAATTGCAATGAGAAATTTTAGGTAGTAATCATTTTTGTTTTATTTATTTATAAAAATCAGAAAACTTGATATTGATTAGGATACCAACCTTCATAATGTGAAATTTCAAATTTGCTTATAGAGAAGATTTGTCTCCAAGTAATCTTACAAATGTAGACTAATACTTAGCCCAAATGACAAAAGTTCTGCACTTCCTATAATTCAGTCAAATGTTTAATTCAAACCACAGAGTACAAAAACAACATCAACAAAACTTTTACAAAGATACCCATTCTAAGATGATACATACCGTATTTAAGGTAAAACCAGTTTTGGAAACGCCCCCTCTCAAAAAATGAAATGGAAGCTCTTATTACCAATCATGTGAAAGAACATGTTTTGTCTAATATATATGATGATACATATTGTGTTTATCTTTAAGGTAAACACACTGGTTTCATTCATAAAACAAGCACATCTTCACCTGGTGATTAATGAAACTGAAAGTAAACTCTATTTTTTAAATGCTACTTGATAGTTCTAAATTGTACTCTATACTATTATTTATGGTAATTGTATGATCTGCCAAAGCTGTTTTAATTTGTTTCTAATTTGAATTCCAAGTCCTTTCACTATAGCAATGATCGTATTATATATATAATTATTTATGGTAATTGTATATACTTATTTATTTACTAATTTTTTTATATTTTTTTTTTTACTTATTAATGATTTAATTCATCCATGTGTTATTTTACCTTGTTATATTTTTGTTATGCATTTTATATTGTCAACTGACTTGTTTAGTCTTCGGACTTTTTAATCAGTACTTGAATAAAACCAAATATCTATCATCTATCTACTCCCTTGATTAAAAGATTTCATCATAATATTTATTTCACAAGGGGTTCATATACATGTATGATTGATATAATAATATTGATAAAACAGAGAGTTTATAGTGATGTCAGAATATGGAAAAATAAACTTCATTCTAAAAAACAATGTAGACTAATACTTAGCCTAAATGACAATAGTTCTGCACCTCCTGTAATTCAGTCAAGTGTTTAATTCAAACCACAGAGTACAACAACAACATCAACAAAACTTCTACAATATGATACCCATTCTGAGATGATACAGGTAAACACACTGGTATCATATTATACGAAACAAGCACATCTTCACCTGGTGATTAATAATTAACTGAAAGTGATATTCTATTTTTTTAAATGGTAATGACTAGCTCTAAATTGTATTCTTTACTCCCTTGATTTAAAGGTTTAATCACATTTATTTCCCAAGGGGTTCATACATCATTGATATAATGATATTGATAAAATAGAGTATACAGTGATGCCAGAATATGGAAAAATTAAGGCTATTCTGAAAAATAATATACATTTATATAATTCATAACACTACTTGTTCATGTTCTACATGTACATGTACACATGTATGTACATGCATTGAGGCCTACTGCCTACAGAAGGGCATACATGTAGCATACAGAATTAACGCCCTTCTGGTTCTCAACAGCAGAAACGTACATAATGTACAGTGTACGATTATGTACACCCTGTACATGGCCTGTGTATAAACATGTATGTTTAAGAAAAATACAACAAAACATAAATGTAATATCATCTGTGAGATTCAGAAGGGTGTTGTAGAGGTGTTGTGGTCGAGTGGATACGTCACCAGACTGACGATCACAAGGTTCGCGGTTCGAGTCCCACCGCGGCACTTATGTCCTTTGGCAAGACATTGATCTACATTTGCTACTCTCCACCCAGGTGTTAAATGGGTACCCGGTAGGATGCAAAAGCCAATGTGGTATGCTTAGCAATTTGAGCCTAGTAGCTCTTGTTGGAATGCTCCCCAGGGAGTGGAGAAAGTGCATATACGTTGTGTGCGTGCAAGCCAAAATCAGATGACCGGGGTAATATTGTAAAGCGCTTAGAAACTCGGACATTCCCGATGTATTAAGCGCTATATAAGCAATAATATTATTATTATAACTCATGCCATTTCCTAAGTAGTTAATGTCCTTCAGGCTCTTCTCTTGCCTCATGATCATACCATCATCTTTGTTTTCTCTTTGCATGATGGACTTGAAAAGGCATATGACCAAACGAAAGTACAATAATGAGTCAAGCAATTCTTGTTTTTCAGTGCATTCATGAACTGATTACAATTAATAACCTCGTTCTGTGTTGAGTGTGGACTTAACGCTGACGCCCAGACAATTAAGAGTCAAACAATTCTTGTTTTTCAGTGCATTCATGAACTGATAAAAATTAATAACATCATTCTGTGTGGAGTGTGGACTTAACGCTGACGTCCAGACAATTAATTCAACAAGGGTGGAGTCGTGGAGACCAAAAAACAAGAACTACATGTACATCTTATTACAACCTTTTAGAAATAATTATTATATGACGTAAGTACAGGTGGTGTAACTGTAAAGTTATAATCCTACATTGAATTTTGTGGCATTGCCCCGAGCTGGCTTTGTTATTTGCTTATCACACACAAATATACAGGTACATACTAAAAGCCATCATCCATGGAATAGCTGGTTACCATGGCAACGATATGAGCGACAACACTCCAGTCCTCTCTCTCTCTCTCTCTCTCTCCATGTTTATTCCATCCACTGATGAAGGTAATTACACGCACAAGACCTTTTTGCGAAATATGGCTACCAGTATACTCATTTCATGATTTTGCATTGGAAAGGGCAATATGTATGGCTACATTACAGGTACATACAGTTGTACATGTGATTGTGTATTAATCCAGTAAGCAAAACCAATCATATTTTTCAGGTCTTTACTGCATGATTCCGATTACTCCTCACTTCAACATCAAATAAATATGATATAACTACCCGCTCCACACCTTCCTCTATTACATGTAAGAAAAAAAAGTAATTTTGTTTATCAGTTTATTCATGATTCTCTTATACATGATCAATACATTATTGTGTTACACTACATGTATGTCTGTTTTGT